GCGTTCACAATCCGAAAGCGTTCGGTGATTGGATTGGCAAACCGGCCATGAACTGAGCTACCAGTAATAGCTGTTTTGACGATTCGTCCATTCCCGGCAAGCTCCTGAGGTGAACTGCGAACATGAGAGGATCCGCCCCTACATCAAGCCGTGCCTCCTAGAACCGCCACATCACCTCCCAGAAGTTGACCGGTATGTCCAATCCGGATACCAAAGCATCCTTCGTGGCGGCCAAAGCCAAGTTGACAGGGCCTCTTCGCACAGCCTCCAGGACTGCCTTCACCATGCCCTTGAGGCGACACCGCAAGACGACTAGCTTCGCCCGCTCGGTCCCTACACCAACCGCCGCCATCACATCCTCGAAGTTCTTCAATAAGGTTGTCACCTCCCCTTTTCAAACGGCTCCGGCTAGGAGATCTTTAATACTCAACTTGGTTGGTCACGGCACCAATGTAGCAACCCGAGATACATCTGATACTGTCTGTTGTTTCAAACAAAGATTACACCAGTTTCATCGGTTCGGATCAACGAAACATCTACCAATCTTCGCACTCCTTGTTGGAGGTTGTATGGCGCGGATTTAGTTCTGTGTTTAGTAGTTGTGTGGGGTGTAATGCTTATGCACTCATTATGCTGGCGCATACAACGGCTGTTCCAAAGTGTTCCTTCCTTTGGGGGTCATTACAGCCTGCTTTTGGCTGGTGGCCGTTTTGCACCCTGGTACTTCCATACCAATGAGAAATGGTGCAGTAGTGTCTGCCTTTAGTCCACCACAGACTGACCCAAGCAGTGTTATGCAACCACGTCTGAGCGATTGCAGACCTATCGAACGAATCATAGCCGGCCGAGATAAGACGGAGAGATGTAGAAACATGGGCTGGAGTATGCCATACTATTCGGCGGCGCAGGCCTGGTAGGTACATATATGTGTTGTGTGCGGGTTGCAGACAATTTGTTGGGTCGTGAGAAGGAAACAAGGTTCAGACCTCTTCTCCTGGGTAAGTGGTTGTATCGACTGTTGGCGTGTTCATTAAGGTTGTACATTATTGCCATATCGTGTTGCTACGCTCGAAAATATACGCTTGTACTCCCTTGAAACTTTAGGCGCAGAGATATAGATGCTCCCCCGAGTGTTGACAAATGTAATGGACGTGCTTGGTGATTGGAACGCGCAACCGTCATACTCTCATATGACTCCACCAAACGTATCAGAATAGGAAGGGCGAAGATGATGCGGCCTGACACAAATACGCAGTGTTCGCATTTGATATAAGCAATGCGAATTCCTGTATTGGTGGAACATAGGTGGTATAAGCTGCGCAAACATCACCATATACTTAAACGAATATTTTGTTTACCTCAATGGTCACTGGTCTCAAACCTAAGATGATGCTTTTGCTGTAGTTTAGAAGCTATTCCGTATGTCGATGCATTGTTGTATCCTACCAAGCCGCAGCAAAACATAATGATCTTAAAGTAGACAGTAGACCGTTAAGTCGGAAGTTAATGAGCAACTCGTCAGTTAGTTTACAAAATATAGTGCGGCATAGACAACTATTTCCTCTCTTTGAGGCTTCACCATATTACACGGTAGTTCCCAGTCGACCAATCGGTCTTCGCAGTCGACGGACCTAACCCTGGTCAGTCGACAGCATCATTCAGTGTGATTTCTCTTCAAGCACCACTTGCAGGTTTTCTCCGAAGCTGGTATGCTGTGGTTACACTGAGTGACTGCGGCTACAGTACTGACGACCCAATTAGGTCAAGTCAACTTAAGTCAAGGTTTATGTACCCAGATGGGTGCATTTGCGGTACTTTACAATATCAACTGCGAATAAAGCAAACTGACATCATCAAAATGGTAAAATTTTATAAACGGATAACCTCGAGTAAAATGATCCACATTCTTGGACACTAAACGCAAGTTAACAAACAGAATCCTCGGGTTATTTTCACCGGAGAGAGTAGTCATACGAAGACATTTCTTCAGAACTGGTTTCAACCGGATTAAAAGCTCGTAGCCAAAAGCAGAAAATCGCGAATAGTGTTTGGTATCTCGACGTAGTATTCAAACTGTGGAAAGTAATAAAATTGTGGTGACATTGGAAGCACTTCGGACAAAATAGTGTGCGAAAATATTCCTTCGTAACATTAGTATACGCAGTAGATAAAGGGAAAATGATATTCAAAGAAGAGACACCGGCCGATTTAAAGGCCCTGCCACTAAATTGAGAAACTGTGCACACGTTAGTGATTGCTTCAGTATTATCCTACGAAACTGGAATCTAATTTTGGTCTTGCTACTGCATCTGGAAACACGCTGGCCTAACGACACATTTCTTGGCTGCGTCGGTTGTTGCATGATATCTTCAGTTTGAATATTCGTACAACTCGACCTTTTATAAGAGAAATATGTACTACCTTACGAACGTCGTACTCCTCCAACGGGAGTATGTCATGGTGTTGTACATAGCAATAGGCTCATTAAAGGCACTGAACAAAAGACAGGCGTCCTTGATATGTAAGTTTGTTTCACATTCAGGAATACGTCGAACTTTGAGACCACTAAACACAGGTCCAGTTATAGACTATTGATTGCCTATAATTCAAGTCATACTTTTCCTTTAAAAAGACACCTGGCGTCCTTATCTCATCAACGACTGACCGTCTCCCCAAAGAAGTAGGTAGCAGGAAATCCATCCAATTCACCACCCACAATATCCAACTTTCGGGCATTAAGACACCGTCCATCTACGGCGATGTTTAGCAGCAAAGGATGAGCTGCCTCTGGTGCATTGATTTATACTTTCCCAATCTCTCATCAGAAGTAGAATGCTAAAATCATGGTAACCGCTGTGGAGGGTTTCGGTGCTTTTCTCTCCCATCACAGAAATCCAGTGCAGTGATGGAGATCACTGACTGGAGAGGCGGAACAAGGTATCCGACTTATTCTCTGATGACTCTTGCGCAGTTTATACTATGTGTTCTTTTATTTTATTAGATTTGCATTGCTAATATTAAGTGAGAACAAATTTCAGTCACAAAACCCTCCATGTTGGGTAAGTTCCCGGTGATCGGAATGGCAGAGGTTGACTTCAAAATCGACCATGGCCACAAATGTGATTGCCTGTCACCATCCACGACACACGATGTGTGCTACAACATCCAACTTTCAAGGTAACCGCTGAACCACATCGGAAGCTGACAAGATCTGACCCATATGTCAGTAAACATCCACAGCATAGTTAGACACTTTGCAGTGAATGTGACTTGCAAATGGAATCCTCCTATTATTCGGTACAATTGTGATAGTCAATTTCCTCTACCGATGCCGTTCACGCTCATTGACGCGTCACATTGTTTCTTCCCCCATAGGCACATGTGGGTTCTCAAGTTCAGGTTGAATCAGCCATTTACCGTTGGTCCAAACTTAGCTGATTCCGTGCATCTGCTTGTATGACTGATCAACACCCCGGTGTAGTTGGCTTGGTCATTTTTCATCTAAAAATTTTACGTACAACGTTATCGACCTGTTAGTTATCGCTGCAACAGCCTTGTCACTATTTGCATCGAAAGTAAGGGACCGTTTAAAATCCAGCTGCTGTGAACCCCAAACATGTGGCATTAACAGAATGGTATATAAAGATCGGTATTCATGAGGAGTAACACATGTTGCTGCGCACCGTGGATGTCACCCGGTTTGGTGATGCAACGTTTGCAATCGGACTGTTAACTTCGACGAACAAATGAACATCTGAACAATAAAGTTGCAGTTGCAAGTGTTTCGAATAATTTCAATCTCAGTTGTGTGTAGCCCAACCGCAGTGACGATGAATCCAATTTGCCCCTACAGTCAAACGGGTAATCTGACATGTCGCTTGAAATTTACAAGCATGAGATGTCAACAGAATTACGTGAGTTGGCCGGAAACAAAGGACCACATTTTAACCAGTTGTACGGGGGTACAAAGGCTGAATGTTAAACTTGGTTGACTAATTTGTATCATCGAATGCCTGTGTGTTGTCGAGCACACAAGCTTGGCGCATACCAAGCGATGCTTGCGGTTTTGAACGAGAATGCCCCTGAGGAATAAGTGAACAAGGAACCACCGAATGGTCCCATGAGCTTATAAACCTAGAATTTGTCACTCTCCTAGGTCCGCTCCGGCAATTCAGCCTTTCTAGGCCACTCGAGTCAGTCTAATTCGAAATAGATTAGCACTTGTCCCACATCTTTACCCCACCGACTGCTAACTGAATTTGACTAAATTAGAGAGGATTCCAAAGAAATATCGGTTAGACTGTTATACTATGTGAGTTGCTGCCGTACTGCTTTTGCGGACACTCCGCTTATGCAGACGGAGTTGGGATGATTCGCCGTCGATACAGTTCAGTTTTAAGTTGGTGTATTCTAAGCGCTTCGACCTTCGTGAGAACATTGGTAAATAAATGTATAAAAACGGTTTTCAAAAGATTTCATAAATAGACAAATAAAGTAACTTTTATTCTTGACGATACGAGAATCGTCTGTATCGACATGATCAGATAGATGCATTCTTGGGTAGAACGCAGATCACATGTTGATCAGGAAACTTAAATTCAGATCAAATAACGACGTTTGGAATGAGAGCAAAGGCATAGTGAATGATTGGCAAAACGAAATGGCGATTTACCTTGTATCGGAGCTGAAGCATTCGTATGTTAGAATCCCCCTAGCGATAAAATAAACACGAACCATGACTTTGGATCTTTGGATGCAGCGAAATTCTATACCCATTCACAGAAACATTAATTCTACCAATCGCTGCACATTTCTGATATTATTAAAGCGTGCTATTTGCTTCCACTCAGCTTATGGCAACTGGTATAAAGTGATTTGCAGTTTGACTCATATTCTTCAGCGGCCGAGCTCATCGGTTTCACTTTTATAGAAACTGTACATTCCGATGCAGAAGAACAGAAGTACAATTCAAAACCATTTTATGACTATTATTTCCACAGATTGCATCTTTGAATTCACTCACTCTCCGAGTACCACGGGAAACTTCGCCTCACCAAATTACCCTGGACTCTATCCCACAGATTTGGTATGCGAGTACCGATTCCTTGGCCCAAATGTGAAAAAAATTGAGATCATTTTCCTGGAGTTTGATGTTGAAGGTAGTTACAAAACGTAAGTCAGCTGCTTTTCGATCTCAGACGTTTCGATTGTTTAGTTGAAGACAAACTGTTCTGTCACAACCGTTCTTGCAAATAAGAACTCTAACCTACCAGGCTGTGAACAGTGAGTTGGAGATTCAAATAAACATTGCATCCTCCGTAGTCGCAAATACATTGCGTTGGTAGATAACCAGAGTTCAAGATAACGATGTTTGCCGTAGACATCGTGTTAAACATCTGGAACAACAAGAGTCTGGTTGCTGTTGGCAAAAGTAATCAAGCTACTCCTTTCACTTAGCTAGAAGTTGGTAGACTTCTTCACAGGTACGACCTCATTTCTTAGTGCTGGATAGTGTTAAGTATGGCACTTAGCCGATGAAGGGAACAGAACGCGCAAGCGTAGTATGGAACCAATTTACTAAGAGCTTCCTGCGTTACAGTGGCTTCAAAGCCGGATAGAAGACCAATGAAATGAGAAAAGTAAGGTAAGGTCATTGTCAGTGAATCACGCGAGTACCTGTTTTTACGAATCGATACTCAAGTGCATACGTGAAACCTTCTCTTCCCTGGTCAAGACGGCAGACTTCGGGTTGAGACCGGTCAATTGGCTTAGGCGTGTGCTTGGAGTTTCTTAATGGTGGTTGTACGACGTACGTTTGTGGTTCCTGGTTTTGTGAAGTAGATTCTCCGTCGGTTTGTGGGCCAGTAGCAGTCACTTTTTGTTCCCGCTCCTGTGGTTTGTTTGAGCGTGGGTGGATATGGTCAAAATGGCGACGCACCACACGGTCGTCCTCCAGCTGTAGCTTCGCTTGGTTACTCGCTGTGGACATGAGTGTAGCAGGTTGCCAGCTTGTTTCGTGAGGCCATCTTGTGTATGCCGGATCAAAATAATTAAGAGACATTTCCTCTGGCATCTTTTCATCCACATACATTTGCTCCAGCTTTTCCTCTATTCTCCTTCGAGGGTTTGAAAAAGTAGGTGCAGTCTCGTTCATAGTGGCCGACCAAACATTAATTCCTCGAGTGACTTCCCTGTCAACTCAGTCGATGTCGTGCGGCAAGAGAACAAGAGACGATCTAAGTTAGTTACATGAGTCTGCATGAGGAGACATTGTTTAACAGTCTGAACTGCAAGTTCTGCAATTCCATTCGACGCGGGATGGTACGGCACAGCCTTAATGTGCTGTATTCCGTTGTTACTCTGGCACTGTTGAAACACTTCACTGGTAAACGGGGTTCGGTCGTCAGTGCATACGGTCTCTGGAATACCGAAAATGGCGAATATGGGGCAGATTTTTGCAACTGTGGCTGCGGAAGTCGCTATCCATTTAGAATGGGCATCAATCAAAAGTAGACACATCGTTCCATTGATTGGGCCAAAGTAGTCCGCGTGTACCCGCTGCCAGGGCCTCTCCGGTCAACGCCATGGACGTATCAGTGAGGGAAATTTTTGCCTTTAGTATTACGGACATTGTTTGCAGTTTTTCAGCAGTCACTCTACACCCTGGTTAATGTTCGGCCACCAACAGTAAAGAAGTACCAGCGCCTTCATCATTTTCATGCCGGGGTGTGCGTCAGGCAGCTCCCTCAGCAACCGGGGCCGTAGTTCTTTTGGTGGAACTGGGCGCGAGCCTTGAAATATACAGCGGCCGTAGAGAGTTAACTCATATTCCGAAAGACGAAGTGTTTCAGTTCCTCTGACATGCTTGTAGGCCCATCCGGTCATCAAGAAACGCTTCACCGTCGACAACACAGGGTCCCGGTCCGTCAGGCGCCGCACCACGTCACTCTGGATGGGTGTCTTTTCAAGAAGTTGCATCAAATTGATAAACTCCATGGGTTCACTATTCGTTTTTGTGCCATGCTGCTGCGGAAGACGACTAAGTGCATCGGCTGTGGTATTACTTGGTACGTTTACATACTGAAGTTTGTAGTTATAGGCGCTCAAAAGTAGTGCTCACCTTTGCATCCGAGGCGAAGACATCTGTTGGATTCCTTTCTCCTCACCCAGAAGCGAAAGAAATGGTTTATGGTCGGTGTGGATATCAAACTGTCTTTCCCGGACATACTGGTGGAAATGCTTGACTCCGAAAACAATCGATAAAGTCACCTTGTGCAGTTGGGAGTAATTCCTTTCAGCGGGTCGCAGGGTCCGAGAAGCAAAAGCGATTGGACGAAGAGAACCGTCATCCGTCCGGTGGCGAAGGACTGCGCCTACTGTGCGTGGGGAAGCATCACACTGCCGCATTAGAGGCCGGCTGGGATCGAAATGCACGAGATACAAGGTGGCGCTGAGCACTCTTTTTGCATACGTGAAGGCCTTTCTTTGATCCGGTCCCCAAGTCCAGGACTTCTCCTTGTGCAACAGTTCATACAAGGGTGCGAAGACGGTTGTGTCGTGTAAGAAGCGACGATAGTGAGAAAACATCCCCAAAAACGGTTGACGTTCAACTTCACTCTTTCGTTCAGATGCCACCCGGATGGGCTTTACTTTGTCTTCTAACGCGTGTAACGCTTTTGGTCTTGGCGGTAACCAAGGCAACGAATGGAACCTAAGAAAAACGTACTCTTGGACTTCTTCATTTTGATTAAGGTTGGAAGTTTGTGAGTAGGGTAAAGTTTGTAGAAAGTAGAAGTCACGATTAAAATTCACGCACAATAATATGCCTCGACGGGGAGTCGAACCCCGGTCCACGAATTTCCGGTCCGCTGCTCTACCACCTGAGCTACCGAGGGCTGACGATTAGGTGCGCAAATTTTAACACATGACTTCTGCTTGGTGCGCGACATATTGCCAATGGGCTCACAGTACCTGTCCTGATGTTTTGAGTCCACTCAGTTGTAGACGTTTGAGCACAATGGATAGCGTTTGTAAATGTTCAGCGTCTGCAGATCCTGTAACTAAAATGTCGTCAAGGTAGGTGTAAGGGAAAGGAATATCTTTGATAAGGTTGTCAATAATCATTTGGAATATCGCTGGGGCCGAACTGATCCCGAAGGGCAGACGTTTGTACTGGTATAGACCCATGTGTGTACTTATCGCAGTGCATGAGCGAGAGGTCTCGTCTAACTCAATTTGTAACTACGCGTGACTGAGGTCGATCTGTGTAAACTTTTGTCCGCCTGCAGGCATAGCTTACAGATCCTCTATCCGGGCTAAGGGATATTCTCCAGAATTAAACAACGATTACAGTTAGTTTATAGTCACGGCAAATACGCACACAACCATCCGGCTTCAGGACTGGAACTATCAGAATTCCCCCTCACTGTATTAGAGTGGCTCGATGGTTCATGCTGATTGCAATCTCTTTACCTCGTCGTTCACTTTTGTTCCAAGGGAATAAGGTGGGGTACGTTGCCTAAGAAAGCGGGGCTGTTCCTGGCCGTAATTGGGTACTAACTTGGTACCTCTGTAATTTTCTTAGTTCCTCCTCAAAAACGGCAGAATATTTGTTAAACACATCCTCCAACCGCTGGTTAGACATGAACTTTATTGTCTCTAGCGTGACCAGAAAGCGTTTAATCCAGCCGCGCCCGAGTAAGTTTGGACAATCATTCGTCACAGATGGGTTTGGTAGTAATCAATTTGAACGTGACAAAAACCTTAACAACACATTTCAAAGGCTGAGTGGTCTAAACCTTCGTTAGAATGCCAGAAAGTGCCAATTCGCCTTCATGGAAGCAGAATTTGTTGGGCATATCATTTCCACTTCTGGTGTAAGGCCGAATGAACAAAGCACTAGAGCCAATTCTAAGTGTCCGAAACCGTCCATTAACCGAACTATGCGATTATTGCCGAACCGCTGCGGAGACTGATACTGATGGGCCACTGAACAACATAGTGCCTATCTGACCATACGGGCTATGCTTGCGTCCACTCTTACTGTTGCGATCTTTAGTGATCCATATTCAATTCTTTTTCAATGGATGCTTCGAAAGCTGTGTTAGGCGCAGTAATATTGCAGTTGCGCCATGGTGAAGAGAAACTAATTGCATACCCCTCAAGCTCTTTGTCAGCCACCGAAAGAAATTATTCAATTTGCGAAGAGAAAGCGTATTTGCATGTGTCTGGACATGTAAGAAAGGGTATTTCTAGTGTCGATTTATTTTGCGCACCCATCATTCTGCATTTACAATCCCACTTAACCGCGGTAACAAGGGTCAGAACCCGGTGAAGCCGTGCCTATGGTATTCACTTTTACTAAAATACGACAAGGAAACCAAATATGTTCCAAGTTGTACTAACCAAGTTGCGGACGCCCTTTCGAGGTTTCCGTTCTATAACAAAAAGCAGAGTGAATAGTTGGAAAAACTAAAGATGGTATTCCATCTCTCGGCTAAAAACTTGACCGCATAGGAGAGAACACTGACATAGATTAAGTTCTGTTATACATTTGTCAATACTTAGCTGATTCATGGCCAAACCTCGTGAAAATTTAACCCGAGTTACTCCCATATTGCACACTTTGATATGAACTGTCTTTTCTAAACGATTGTCTCGTGCGAGGTGAACAGTTTGTTATACCTGGTACATTTATTCCGACAGTGCCTGAATGCGTACATAAAGGTTACCCAGGCATTTTGTGATCAAAAGCCCGGATGCTCCAATACTGCTGGTGCCCGAAGCCGAATACCAGAGTCTAGGCTATTGTCCGGGAATGCTAGGCTTACGAACATTCTGATAAAGCACAAGGCCGCTGAACTCACCGATTCAACTTATCGAGTATCCAATGAAGCCAATTGCAAAACCACTGTTGATATCATGGGCACAGTTGCCAATGCACCTGCACCGAACGCAAAAGTGCTAATTGCTACATGCTTCTAGAGCGAATGTGCGGGGGCGGTTTTGTGTGGGGATATCACTACAATAGTCATTATAAAATGGATCCGCTGCTTGTTTGCAAGGTTTGGGTTGACAGAAATATTAGTTACTGATAATGGGCCTCAGTTTTGAAGCAATATGTACGATGAGTTACTAAAGCCCAATAGCATCCTACATTCAAGTACAGTGCA